TTCTACCAGTTAGCAATTAGCTTACTCCTTGGAACATAGATGTTATTACTCTAATTTTCTAATATAATTAACAATGAGAATTCTCAATAGTCTTATAACCCATGTAGAGGTCTATTGCTGGCTTTTGAATTTTGTTTTCTCCATTGCAACAGAACCTGATAGCAAAGAGTTTTACTGTAGTCCTGGCCTCAGCAACCAACTTTTGAATCTGGAAATGTATAATGACAGTAAGCCACAAAACAACTTTTTCCAAGTCTCCACCAATGAAGATGGAACTTTTTATTCTGAAAATTGTGAACATATGAACTGTTATTCCCACCAGATTTCACTCAGCTCAGACTCCTGCCTCCCCTGACAGGCAGTATCATATGCTATAGACAACAGGACGAGAGCAAGCACAGAGTGATCCTTCCCAGGGCACTCAGCAGCAGCTCACAGACCTCCCAGGCTGCAGAATTATCTTCTTTAAAAGGAATCTCAGATGGATTTCTGCAGCATTTGGAGCAAACACTTGCAGACAACAGTGTCTGGGGCTGTCTGAGCCCCAGCAGCCATCACTAACCACCGCATACAGGCTACAGGTTTTCCATCTTCTGCTCCTGCCACCAGGAGGTTGCTCTGTGATGCCACTGCTCCAGTTGAACCACCCCTCACCCCCACCACTGCAGGAACTGGCCAGGACAACCTTCCACATTAACTGGCCCAGCTGTTAAAGGTGATACATGTTACTTTAAATCAAGTGTCTGTGCAAACCTGGCAGGATCCTGGTGAGAACCAATGGGGCTCCCAACAGGATCCTGCCTGGTTTCCTCATAACTCACCTGGTGTCCTCAGGAACAGCCCACCTGCAGCTACAGCTCCCAGAGAAACTGGCAGCAGGGAATACTCTCATGGCTCACCATGGGAATTCCAGTGGGAAATACATCTAGAACCAATTTTAATGACATTAAGACCCTTGAAGGTGCAGAATTACAACAGTCAAGAAAAAAAACAATAATGCATCTAGAAAAGCTGAAGAGAAAACTAAAATGAAGAGAGGGAAAAAAGAAAGCAGGCAATCTCATCTAAAGTGAAACTATTCCCAGCAAAGAGGAGGTACCTGCCAACCAGCCTCTCTTTTGTATGACAGCAATGGGCCCCTCCTGATTTCTCACACAGCAAACACCTTTCTTCAGCAAGACCACTAAGGAAAGGGAGAGACTGTCCTTAGGAAGTTCAAGGGAATGGGGGAAAAGTACTGAAATAAAAGAAATCATTTGAGAATATTCATAGCAAAGTTCCAGTGATATCCATTTGATTATTGTGTAATAGTCTCCATGGGAAGTATTAAAGCCATCAAAAGCATGAGAAACAAATTCATGCCAGAGAGTAATAAGAATAAACTCTAAAGAGCATTCCTGCTCTGCTCCCCAAGGGCAGCTGTCTGCTCTCTCACACCTTCCACAGGGCAAGGTACTACTCCATTTAAATGCTGGAAAGTCAGCTGAGACAGTTTCCCCAAAGGAAAAACACCTCTTTGGTCAGCACACAAGTGGACTGGCTTCTCCCTGATTTTCATTGCTAGTTCAGACTCTCATTAAAATAAAAAGGCACAAAACAAACAGGAGAGCTCCAAGCTACTTTAAGTCTTCCCCATCCTTCATTTCCCTTTGTGTTGCTCACTTCCCACCTGTCCAATGGCCCCCATCAGGTGTCTCAGCCACCCCAGGGCCCTGAACACTCCTCTTCTGAGATGGTCCAACACTCACCATCTTCCTTCAAGCTGCTGCTTTAAAAGAGGCTGCATGCCCAGTTCCAGTAGATCCCAATAAACACACACACAACTATTTCAACACAACAGCAAGATAAGGCAAGAGAGCTCCTTCTCAAAAAGCTCACCCACCTAAATATAACATTTTCAAAAAGAGGGAAAGGGTTCAACACTAAGCTGTTCCACATGGCCCTTTCCCTCAGTGTCCCTCACATTGCTATTCCTGACCACTGGCAGGCACATCCAAGGACTATGAACTGTTCAGCTTGGCCATGAAGAGGAGTAAGAAGCCCTAAATCATAGTTTTCTCAGTCTGCAGACCCAATCTAAACAAAAACCAGAATGCTGTTCAACCTTCCTGGGAGTCAATGGAAAGCAAGGCAAACCAGGCTCAGAAATAACCTGCACAATACTACACATGAAACATTATCATAACCCATTATGCTGGTGCCCCTTTAAAGGACACTTTAGGGCATGTTCTGTTGAAATGTTAATAAATGAGTTTAAACTACTGTCCCCTCCAGCAGCACTTAAATTACTCCATACACCTCAAATGTCATACTGCTTTCCCTCTTGTAACAGCTCCTTTATTTGAACCAATGAAGAAAAATCTACAACAAAATAAAAGAACCCTACACCTATTTTCCTATTTTCAATGACGTGGGTTTTCCCCCATTCCCTGTTCCTTCCACTTTTGACAGTCAAACATGGGCCTCTGGAAGAAGAGCCATCCAAGCCACAATGCCCAAGAGTTATCCTTCACACACAGCACCACTGGCCAGTTTGTGGAAAGCCCTTCAACCCAAGATTAGAACAAACTGCAATGTTTGCCTCGAGCTGATACTTTTGCCTGCCAATCATGTATGTATTTTAAGACAAATCCTGATGCTAAATGAAGCACATGCACTGTAATCTTTCCTGTAACATTCTTTTTACTAGAATATATTTAGAGCCCTTTTATCCCAACCAATACTTGTCTTTTTTTCTTTGTGTGCAACAAAGGGAGTTCCTCCTTGTTCTTAAGAGATAGAGTTCTACACAATGGACTTTGATACATTTTAGTTCCTACACAGTATTTTTGCAAAGGTATTATTAAACATTATAATTAAAATAATTATACTTGGCAAATAAGCAACTGTGGAACGTGCTCCCTCTTCTTTCTTTTCCAGCACTGCTCAGTTTTCTATTGGTTTGCTGCTCTACCAGTCATTACCAGGAATTGGATGGGGCTGCTTTTGAGGACAACTGTGCAGAAACTAAAGGTGTTGAGTTGGTGCACAGGCTTCCACCCTACAGTAGCTAATTTAATTTCTCATTAACTTCTGACCCTCTGGACTCGTCTGCTCCACAGGAACCATGTGCAATAGCTCAGCTCACTTTAATAACAGGGCACAAAACATGACTCAGTTCCCCTGAAGACACTGCTGTGCACTCATTATCTTCCTAACAACGTCCTGGGAGCAGCAAAGTCTTTGTCCAAAGAGAAGAAAACCTCTGTAACTCCAGCACACTGTGCTTTCCCCTTTGTCTTTCCTTACATTACTTAAAAACTTATAAGGTCTACTCCGTGCATCTTTGGAATTTGTTCCAAGCAAGTCAGAGTTTAACAATACAGGATTCACTTACAATCAGTAATTGCTCATTTTAATGACAAGTTTTCAACATGACTTGCCACAGTTATTAGTGTTACTACAAAAAGGATCTGCAGTAGGAACTGAAACAAAAATCCCCAGGGCAGATTATTTCAGTGTATTAGGCAGCACCACCCCAGGATTTCTACCACATGGCCAGTTTTTCACAGTTCAAAGACAGGTAGATGTTGCACAGTGATGACAGATCCTTTGGCTCCAGTCCTGAACACACACAATGCAAACACTGCTGTTCCCTGTTGTTTGACTACTGGGGTAACACGCTCGTTGCTACCACTTGCAGACCATAGATTCTATTCTCCACTGAGGAGATGAGAAGAAAACAAATCACACTTTCAGATCCTGGATTCGACTGGGCATTCATAAAAACTGATCACACATTCATCACCACAGTCCCCTATAACCTTGTGGCACAGCTGAAGCAAGGATATTTTCAATGTGTTTTACACCAAACCTGCATGTGCAAGCTTTGCCTTGTGCTAACCAGCTGTGGTTTTAAATGCTGGAGTTACATGCATGAAATATTAAAATGTTTCTGCCATCACAGTCCTCAAAGAACTCATCCATTTTAAGTTAAAACTGCAAGAAGTTACTTAAAAATTTATTTCAAACTTACTGCCATTTTCACGAAAGACCAGTTTTCAAATATCCCGAACAACATCTTTGTTGATTTGAAAAATATTAACATCAAAGTGACTCGGAAAGCGGATCAGATAAAGGCAAACATCAGCATCAGCACCACGAAAACTGCCGAAACACTTGGGTGTCACTGGACGTTTTGCTGCTGCCAGACCTGCAGGGGCTCCCTCGAACTGACCAGCTCAGGTGTCCCGAAGGACAGGAACGAACACGGCTCACGGCTCATTTCACAATACGAACACGCACGTCTCATGTTCGGGGTTTTTTTAAGGGTTTCTTTCCTTTTACTCGGCGCACTTAAGAGAACTCCAGCCTGTTACGGCAGCAGGGAAGCGAGTGCCGTGTGAGCTCCAAGTGGATCCAGGGACAACCCGCGCCCGCCGCGGGGACCCGGGGACCCTCACCCGGGGACCCTCACCCGGGCAGGGCCGGGAGGTGCCTCCGGACACCGCGACGCCCGTCCACAGTGCGAGAAGGGTCAGTATTTACTGCCGAGAAGTTGCCTCTGCAGTTCCCTGCCCTGTACAACCCCCGTGTAGCACGCCCGTGAGCAGGGGCACACACGGTGTGCGGGGTGTTCCTGCAGCCCGGCCGAGGGGCTGGGCCTGACCCGCACCCCGGGCCTGACCCGCACCCGGACCCGCGGCAGGGCCGGACCGACCTCGGGCAGACCCCGGGCAGACCCCGGGCAGACCCCGGACCGACCCCGGACCGACCCCGGGCAGACCCCGGACCGACCCCGGACCGACCCCGGACCGACCCCGGACCGACCCCGGGCCGACCCCGGGCAGACCCCGGGCAGACCCCGGGCAGACCCCGGGCAGACCCGACCCGCCCGGGCGGGTCCCTGAGGGGAGTTCTCGCATCTCCCCTTCCCGGGGCCCTCCCGCTGCCCGGGCCGTACCCACCACCTCGGGCACCTTCCCCCTGCCCAGGGTGCCCGGCGCCAGGGCCGTACTCACCACCTCGGCCACCTTCATCCTGCCCAGGGTGCCCCGCAGGTAGTCCAGGTCGCAGCGGAGGCCGCCCAGCCCGCGGCGCTGGCTGACGGGCTCGGTGGTGGGCTGGTAGGGGCTGCTGGCGGCCGAGATCATGGAGGCGCTGGACGCCTCGCCGTCGAAGCCCTCCAGGTCCTCGCCGTTCCTCATGGTGCCGGGGCCGCCGGGGCCGCGGGCCCGGCCCAGCGCCGCGCTCAGCTACGGCCGCGGGCGCTGCATGGCCGCCCCGAGCCGGGCCGGGCCGGGCCGAGCGGGGCCGGGCCGGGCGCTGCCGCCGTGCCCCGAGCCGGGCGGGGCGGGGTCCCGGGGCGGCGAGAGCAGCCGAGCGGTGCCCGGGGGTGCCCCGGAGCGGAGCGATGTCCCGGAGCCCTGCCCGCCGCCCCCGCCCCGCCGCTCGGGGGCGCGCCCGGCTCCGCCGGTCCCGGTCCCGCTCCTAATGCCGGTCCCGCTCCAGAGCCCGGTCCCGACCCCACAGCACACCCCGCTCCGAGCGGCGCCGCCGCGGCCGCTCCTCCCCCTGCGCTGAGCGGAAAGGGCGGGCAGAGCCGGCCCGGAGGGCGCGGGGCCGGGCGGGGCCTGAGCTGCGACCGCCCCGCGGGGACCGCACCTGGATCGGGGCCGGGCAGGGACCGCACCTGACCAGAGAACCGGGCAGGGACCGCACCTGGATCGGGGCCGGGCGGGGACCGCACCTGGATCGGGGCCGGGCGGGGACCGCACCTGACCAGAGAACCGGGCAGGGACCGCACCTGGAACGGGAACAGCGACGGCACCGCTCCGGACCGCACCTGACCCGGGAACAGCGACAGGACCGGGGCTGGGGACGGTCCCGGTGTCCGCCCGGCCCTCGGGCACTGCCGGGGCTCTGCAGGCGCTGATGGTGGTGCCGAGGCTGCGAAAGCCAACGCTGCTGGCACACCCGAAATGCACCCGCAGCTCGTCCTGAGCACAGGGCTGAGCTCCGGTCCCAGTGCCGAGCTCCAGTCCCTGCCCCCAGCACAGCCCCGAGCTGCCGTCCCTGCCCTGCCCGGCACTGCCTCTCTCCTACACTGACCCGCACCCGCAGAACTTCCAACAGCGGAAACCTCCAGAGCATTCTTCCACCAGTGTTACCTTTAAATGTTTCTAAATAGTGACGTTTTCCAAGTAAACAGTCTTTAATGGCTCTAAATCACTTTTTGGAGGCACTTTCTCTCTTGCTGTGTCACCACAAATGAGGAGAAATTGCAACATGACCTGGCAGATCCAGGTGAGTGAAATGCAGCTGTGCCACAGACAGAGCTGAAATGAGAGCGCTCGGTGTTGTGTCCTCTGATCTGCCAGGTTATCAGCCAGGTCCCTGCTCCTGTCCATGTCCCTCACAGTCTACACTGTTTTCTCTTCCCCATGACAAGACTTTATCTCTTCTAGCACCTTCCTCTGGCCTCCCAGAAGGAGTCTGTCTTTGGTTCTTCTGTTTTCCATGAACACTCAGATTATCAACGTTGGAACTTTCTTTCCAGTTACCTCTGTGTTACTTCATCTCTCCCTTTCAGTTCTCTTGAAGCTTCTTTAATCCTTCTTTTCATGGGTTCTGCCCCAAACATGTGATTTTTAATTTCAGTATGTGTTTCTTCTTTCCTTTGGCCTCTATATAAAAAGCCCCTAAGGAGTAGGGGCAAGAGGACAGCCTGGGAGAGCACACCAGGGAAAAAGTTGGGGATTTGTTCACCATTCCCAGTCATGGCTTGGTTAACTGGAGACACAGCTGACTGTGCAGCCAACACAAGTCCTTTCACAGCCTCCCTGGTGCTGGAAGAGGCCAATATTCTGAAGCAAGACAAAGAGGAGACATGCCCAAGAAAGGGAAACCATTGCCCTTTGGTGAAGGGTGAGTGGCAGGGAAATAAAAGATAAATAAAATAAAGCATGAGGAAGGCATGGAGAAGGAGGGGTGGTCACATGAAACCAGCCTACCAAGATGAAATCATAAATGTGAGGGGGGAATCCTGCACCGGCACAGGGCTGGCCACGATGGACTAACAGGTTTTACAGTCACTTATTTCAGTTCTTGTATAACTCTGGGGAAATCAGAAGCCCCACAAAGCTCCTCTTCTTGCAGGAAGTATCATTAGTAGGTGGTTGCCACTTCTGAGAGCACCTCTGGGTTATAACTTGTGGCTGCACAGCTGTTTCAGGAACACAGGTATATTTACCTAGAGACATTTAGCATTTGTTTTGAGGTACTGCTGTGGCTCTTGTAGAAAATTATCCTCACCAAAATAAAGAAAACATTTTTTAAACATGCAGTGAATATTATTTTGGTGATTCTTTTGCAGTTCTAACCACAACATATCAGTATGTTCAAAGAGAATCAAAAGGCAGTGTTGCAGGAGGCAAAGGAAGGACAAAGGGAGAGAGGGTTGAGTGATTTAAACAAAAGGCAGGCTGATAAGAGATCTTGATTCTGGGGTTTGGCTCAGCCACTGCCTCCTGCACACCCTTCAGCAAACCTCCTGTTAGCTTGGTTTTCTTCCTTCTCTTCATTTTCTTAGCTTCGTTTTCTTCTTCCTTTCTCATGGAGGACACAAAGTTCAAATGTATTTAAAATCCCCAGAGCAGTTTGAGGGTTCTGGGAAGTGCAGACACACCAAACCCCCTGTTCCTTAGGGAGCCAACTGCCCCGGCAGGGAAGCACAGTGAGTGTTCCCTGTGCTCTCAGGGGTTGTTTGGACACCTGGGAGACTGTCCCAGCTCCCAGAGGAGGCCACGGTGCCCCCTTGGCACCAGGTGGGCACAGTCAGGGACCCTCTAGAGAGGACACAGCTCCAACCTGAGCCAAACCAGGGGCTTCTGGAGTCCTCCTGGATGGGTGGGTGGGCTGGACACACTTGGCAAGGCCTCCAGAGGTTCCTGCCAACATTTAACAAAAGAATCCTTTATACACATTCCTGCCTGATGCGGCACCTTGTCAGCCCTGCAGCACTCCCAGGGAAAAAACCTCTGTGTTTAGTATGTAAATGAAAGTATTGATCCGGTGGAAAGGTCACTGCATTCAGCCAAGGCAGATCCTATCACAAGTTCCTGAGCTCTCCAAGCACAGCCTGGCATTCCACTGTGTGCCTACAGAGACAAGGAAAGTGGGCAACCAGGTCAGTGATCACCACTCCAGACACCACATCGAGCTAATCAGGTCATGGAATTCATCACAGAGGACTTCACATCCAGCTAAATTAGGGCTAAAGAGTGAAAACAAGGCAGAAACAGCAGAGAGGGGGAATCCAAGGATGCTGTTCATAGACACTGTAATTAAATGAGCTGAGATCTGGGTTTTTACTGAATGGTTAGGCCAGCTCTGACAAAAATAAAAATCCCCCATCAGAAAGAATCTCCAGGACAGTGGTCAGAAATGAAAAGCAAGTGGTGATTCAGGTGTAAAAAGAAGTGGAAAGAGAATCATAAGTATTCTCACTGATCAAACTGAACAAAGCAACCCTGAACTCTTAACTTTCATCTCAGCTATTCCTAGAGCCTTTAATAAACAGCTTCTCACAAACTTCTGAACTACTTGTGGGTTCATTTCATTAAGTGTTATTTCCAAGATAAAACTGTGTGATTCTATTCCAGCTGAATAGGAATATCAACTTAATACCAGATTTTTAAAGCTGCATTTATGCAGTTTTAACACACTTAAAAGTATTTTAATGCTTATACATAAAATTTTGTAGATCTGAATGGTGCTTATTAGGAATAGTGTTTCAATGTAGTTAAGAATGTAAAAGGCATTAGAATTCTAACAGGAAAGTTCCATCTGTGCAAGTACCTGAAAAGAGTTGAGAGGTTCTTTAAGAAATGCTCCGGTATTTCCACATGACCTACCAAAGGGAAGGAGCACTGGTCTGCTGCCAAATTCCAAGAGAGCTGAGCAGTGATTAGAGTTTAACTTTGGCATCACACAGGAGGCTTTTTTTCCCCTCGAATTTCTCAATGTAAAAAATGCTGAAGCTCTTTCTCAGCTATTCAGATGGGGGAAAAAAAACCCCCAAACCCCACCCTAAAAAGCTAATAAAGAACTTGCTTTAGGAAAACATCTGGTAGCTTTGAGTGCCTCAGTGCAGTGAATTGTCCCTTTCCACAGTGTGGGAGTGTGGCACGAACACTCAGAGTCTGCAGCCATGGGAAGTGGGCAAAGCATTTTGCTGAGTCAGAGTTAGGAATTAATACAACAAGAATGAGCTGCAAGTTGTGACATGGACTTTAAGAAGAAGGGACACTGTGGGGAATGGTGGGGAGTCGAGCAGTGAGTTCTAACTGTGGCTGGGCAGTGAGAGGGTTCCTGTGTCACCACGTGCCAGCAGCTCCCCAGGACAGCACTGCCCAAGGCACCTCAGAACAGCCTGAGACCTGAACTGCTCAGCCTGGAGTCAGACACGTCCTGCCACGGAGGGGAACAGAAAGGTACTGATGGGAACCTGTGAGAGCTTCTTGCACTGAGCAGGCAGCAGTGCCCCTGCTCACAGCAGTGCCCCTGCTCACAGCACTGCCCTGCTCAGAGGGGCAGGTTTGCCCAGGGCACCTCGGGCACACCTGACACAGCACAGAAAGGGATCCCCGGGCTGGACTCTGGGCAGAGAAGTGCAGCTGCAGTGACCAAAGCTGTCAGTGAGTCTGTTCCTCTCCTCAGCTCCAGGACAGCACTGACCCGTGCACACTGTCAACACCCTCACCTGTATCCCAGCCCTTCTTGGAAAAGAAACAGAGCAGCCCTGGAAGGGCCTGCAGGCCTGGGACACTCGTGTCCCTGATGTTCCAACCCCAGCCCCAGGGGCAGCCTCAGCTCTCCCAGGGACCACAGGCAGAGCTGAACTCACCCCAGGACTGTCCCAAGGACCTGTACAGGCTTGGCTTCACCTTTAAGGGCACAGGCAAAAGTGTCACTCCTGGAACTTCACTATCACTATCAGGAAACAGTATTTCCCCTTCAAAAACAAACCAAAAAGAAAAAAAACAACCCAAACCCCACAAAATCAAGAAAGGCAACACTGCCAGTGTTGTTGTCTCAGAATCAGTGAGACCTTGCCTTGCACACATGACCATGACTTATGTGCTTTTAACAGTGAGCCATTCACAGAGCAACTTATTTTAATTTTTTACTCTAGAATTAAAGACTG